CATGCTCCAGCAACCCACTTCTGGGTATATACCCAAAACAATTGAAAGAATGATCTCCGGGCCGGGTGCAGTGGCTCACGCCTGTAATCCCCGCACTTTGGGAGGCCGAGGCGATGGATCACAAGGTAAAGAGATCGAGACCATCCTGGTCAACATGGTGAAACCCTGTCTCTACTAAAAATACAAAAAATTAGCCGGGCATGGTGGTGCGTGCCTGTAATCCCAGCTACTCAGGAGGCTGAGGCAGGAGAATTGCCTGAACCCAGGAGGCGGAGGTTGCGGTGAGCCGAGATCTCCATAACAAGAGCGAAAACTCCGTCTCAAAAAAAAAAAAAAAAAAGATCTCCAAGAGGTATCTGTATACTCGTGTTCTAAGCAGCATTATTCACAACAGCTAAGAGGCGCAGTCTACCAGCAGATGAATGAAGAAAATGTGGTATATATATGCAATGAAATATTCATCCTCACAGAGGAAGGAAATTCTTGGCCAGATGCTGGCTCATACCTATAATCTCAACACTTTGGGAGGCCGAGGCCAGAGGATCACTTGAGCTCAGGACTTCAAGACTAACCTGGCTGCACAGCATAGCAAAACCACATCTCTACAAAAAAAATTTTTTTTAAATAGCTGGCTATGGTGGCCCATTCCTGTAGTCCCAGGAGGGGGAAGGCTCTGCATGAGTCTCTGACCATGCAAATAGCTATGCTGTGGCTATGTTGTGCTGACACCTCATTCTGTTTCAGTTTTTTCCATGACTTATTCAAAATAATGTGATACGGTGCAAAGCAGCTTTGCTATGGTCCCTGACCTCAGGTTGCTTAGAGTCTCTGTAGGGGTTGCAGAGAAGTAGTTAGAAAATCAGTAATCAGTGTGGTCAGTGTTGTGATGAGGAGGCAACAGGTCCTCATGAGAACAGGGAAGAGGTATCTCTTTTATTCTCTGCATCTTTGGTACCTAGTACAGTACCTTGCACGTCGTAGGTTCTCATTAAGTCTTTGTTGAATGAATGAATAAACTCAGAACTGGGTGATCACAAGGTCACTTTTGGAAAGGACTTGTGTCTGAGCCAAGTTAGTGATATCTATGGGCAGTAGATGAGTGGAGGGAATTCTCTCATGGATGCAATAATACGCAGTGTTGTGGAAGGACAGAAAGCTTAGCAATCTAAATAGTTGTCTAAAGCTGTCTATTTGCAAGTGGGGAGTGGTTTCCAAAAGTGATTACAGACTGAAGGCTAAGAAGAAATAACTCTGACCAAAGTATGTATTGGGCAAGGCTGGCTAAGAACCAGAATTGATTTTTATGAATTAGCATTTTTGGTTCTGGCTGTTGTGTTTACCATTACTAGGTTTAGTTTCTAATATGTCTTAAAAATAATGCTCTCCAAATGAATAAGATTTTTTTTTGTGAAGCATGGTACAGTTTTCTCTGGCTCTTACCTACTAGTCTTATTCATACTATCTTTGCTTTATAACAATACTTTTTTATGCTCTAAATATATCTGTGATAAATCATGAGTTTACCACTAATAATGTGGGTCATATTGTTGTGTTCTCATATGCCAGGTACTGTATTGAGACCCTGCCATGAGTTATTTCATTTAATGTGGACAGTGGCCTGTCTGTAAGAAAACCAAACCTAGGGCTCCCATTTTACAGAAGTGGCAACTAAGGTTTGGGGAAGTTAAATTGTGTGTTCCCAAGGTCACTTAGGTAAGCCTGGGGCTCACATTTGAATCTGTCTGTCTGACTTCATTTAACCACTGAGCTATGTGTGCTCTTTCCAATGTTTCATATATCTTTGTATTAAACAAAAAATGCCCAGGATTTAGTTTTACTTGTGTATATATCCTTAGAAAGTTTATCAGTTAAGTAGGGAAAGAGTTTGTAGTGAAGTAACATATTAAGACTCTCCTAAAAGCAAATTACAGAAACCCACTTTAAACTAGCCAGCATGGCTGGACGCAGATGCTCCAACAATAATTACTGTGCTCTTCCTCTCTGTGTCTCCTCCTTTCTCACCTTCCTCTTTCCCCCTCCTTCTTTATCCCATTGCCCCACTCCCTCTCTCATTCTGCTTTTCTTAGAGTGTTAGCCTATTCTCTCTTGTCACAGAGGGAGCCGCAGTTGAAACCAGCTCCACCCCTGATCCTAGGAAGAGAAAACATCTTCTCTGGGAGCTCTGGCAGAAATACCTGGGGAACACTCTTGGTCCTGGGGACTGGGGGCTGTGAGAGGACTTTGTGAACTATATGGAATGTAGCTGTTGGGTGAAACATGTCCATACTTCATCTTGATAAGACATGTCATTTGATGGTTGAAAGCTATAGTTATTTAAAGATAATGCACAATATATTTTAATAGCGTTATCAAGATATAATTCACATACCGTAGGACTCGCCCATTTAAAGTGTACAGTTCAATGGTTTTAATGTAGTCACAGTTGTACAGCTTTCACCGCTGTCTGATCTGCAACATTTCCATCACAAAAAGAAATCTTGTACCCATCACAGTCACTTCCTAGTTTTCCCAAATTTCTCAGCCTTAAGCAACCACTCATCTACTTTCTCTCTATAGATTTGCCTATTCTAGACACTTTATGTAAGTGCTCTCAGACGACTGGTGGTCTTTTTTGTCTGACTTCTTTCATTAGCACGTCTTCAAGGTTTATCTATCTTTGTATATCATCATGCATTTTTTATTAATTGCCAAATATTATTCCATTATATGGATATGCCACATTTTATTTCTGTTGTTGATGGACATTTGGGTTGTTTTCATGTTTTTTGCAAGTATGAATAATGCTGCTGTGAACATTTGTGTAGAAGCTTTTGTGTAGATCTGTTTTTACTTCTTCTGTGTGTATACCTAGGAGTGGAATTACTGGTTCATAGGATACCTATACCTCACATTTTGAGGAACTGTCGTCCAAAGTGACTGTATTATTTTACAATCTCACCAGCAATGTGTGAGGGTTCCAGTTTCTTTACATTCTTGTCAACCATTGCTATCTTTTTGATTATAGGCATCTTGGTGGCTGTGAAGTGGTATAATGCATATTTTATAAAAGGCCGTTTTCTTTGTTAAATAATGGCCTGTTTACTTGTCATCTTACCTTGTATAGGAGCTTTCCCAGTGGGTTCTGAACCTGCTCCTCCTCAGTCCAGCCAGCCAGCCAGGTAGGCAGACCATGCTGATCAACGGATTAGAAGTATATGTTTACTTTTCTTTTTCTTTATAAATTTTATTATTTACAGATCTAGACAGGGATTATTCTTATTGTCATATTAAGAAACAGGTTATAAATGGCAGAGGTTACTTGGTTGAAGTTGAACAGGGATTCGTATTTAGGGTGTATTAGGTGGCAGAGAGCTGCTTGCTTCAGTTCTGCAGTGTCAGCCTACTTTGACATGATAGTGGCATTCAGATGACACACATTCCCACTCGTGTTCACTGTGTTGCATGTAGTTCCCAGCAAACTAGTGGTATCTCCGCTGCTTTTTTCTTAGAAATGTGAGGGCAAGAGTAATGTCTTAGGAATAATCTTGATTATTCATGAATGATTGTTCATGAACTTGACTATTTTAATTTTCATTAGTATAAATTACTTGCAGCACACCAAAAACTGAGCTGCTCTTTTATGATTCACAGTGGTTGCTTCTAACTACTTTATTATGGCAACGTTCGTTATCAGCCCTGTAGCGCTACTTAACATTCACCTTGGCATCAGTATAAAACTTGATACTCTCATGCACAGACAGAGGGTCTTCCATTGGTGGCTTTCTCCCTAGCCCTAGAGCAGTCTGTGTATCCAGACTCCATATTGAGTCTTGCCTCTTCAGCACAATGTAAGAGCGTCTGTGTTGAACACACCTTATGCGAAAATCTATGTTCATCTCTTGCCACCCATTTGCCACATATCACTGCATAACTTGAAAGCCAAGAACTTGTGATTTAGAATTGCTGTTCAGATCATGCTTAATATTTTCATGGCATCAAGCAACAGCAAGAAGAGATTACACTTACTAGCAGTATGCTCTAAATGTGGAAGTAATTTGGTGAGCTCCATAAGCTAAAACAGGAGCTCGCAGGCATTTAACAACACATATTATTTTAAGCTGATAATATGCCAGGAACAGATGCTGGGGGATACAATGAACCAACTGGATAAACATCTCTGTCCTTATGAAATGTACATCCCAGTGATTAATGATTTACTATGAGACCATTTATAATGTGTAAGAACCAGGTAAAATATCTACTGTGGATTTTTTGGTAGCAGTGTCTGAAAGCTTTGAAATTCTAAAAAAGAAAATAAAGGAATTTAAAATGTTTAAATCGGTGCATTTAGATAGTATATTATGTAAGTGACTATTTGCTAAGTATCCCAAAGGTAAGATATTAGAGATCCCAATTTAATCATTTAAAGTAAATACTTTTTATATTGACCTTATCCTTATCAAAAAGTGTACTATTATAGTGACAGGCCATGCAGTCTCAAAATCAACAACATTCATGTAAATTGATAAGTTGATAGAAATCTCATGATAATGAGGCAGGCCAGTCATTGAATTTTTCAGTTTTTTAGAAGCATAATTTGAAGACTTGTAAAATTAATAGAACAGTTGAAATTTATTTTTAAACATCAGACAGGTAATGTATTGATGTAAAAAGGTTTAAGGAAGGAGATTTGGAATCTTGTAAAATTAATAGGACAGTTGAAACTGACCTTTACTTTTAAACGTCAGTCTGGTAATGTCTGATGTTGTAAAAAGGTTCACACTCAGGTTTGAGTGTGGAAACCCAATCGTCATCCTTAGGAATTAAAAAAGAACTAAAATAGACGTAAAAAAAAAATGCACATGGGTACCTTTTAACCAGTATTACCAGGCACCCGGAAATGAATGCTTTCAAGTGAAATAAGAAAAGATCACAGTTCTTATTTGGGTTAGTGCTTCTGATAGGCATAGCAGGAATGAATGAATGAATAAATAAATGAATGAATTTTATTAGCATATATAATTAATAAGTAAAGAACTTTACAAGATAATTTTAGATAGTGATAAGTACCATAACATCAGTAAAATGGGGTCTATGATAAGTGAATTAAATATTCACTTGAACACCTAATACATTTCTAAACTTATTGTGGCCAAAGGGCTCCCGATTCCCCTCACCACCAGCTTCTCACCAGGGGATGCTTCTGTAGATTGTGAGGTCTGGGAAGCTTTTGAAGATGTTATTTGAGTTGAGATATGAATGGTGAAGTATCTGTGTGCATTCCAGGTGGAAAAGCGTTGGCTTTGGGGTGGAAATGAGTTTAGTGTATTTGAGACAGTCAGTATGAAATGCTGGAATGTATCCAGAGAAGAAATAGTGGTAGATGAGGTTGGAGAGGTGGAAAGGGCCTTGATATTTTAGGGCAGAATAAGGAGTTAGGATGTCACTTTAATGATGGCAGCAAGTCTGTAGAGTGTTCTAGGTCTGGGGATTGAGGGCCTCATGACTGTGGCTACTGTGTAGTGATGACTGGTAGAGGCAGAAGAGGAAATGAGGACCTTTCAGAGCTGTTGTCTGGGCAAGAAGCCATAGGAGCTGTGTAGATGGAGCCTGGGCCAGCTTTGGCAATCTACTTTGCAGACAGAGCTAAGAACTTAAGTGTGGGTTCTATGTGGAAGGCAGGAGACGAGCAGTCAAGAGTTGATTTCTAGGTTTTAGTTGAGCAACTGAATGTGTGATGGTTCAATTACTAAGATGGGGAAAATTCGAGAAGTTGGTGGTGAGGGGAATCAGAAGATACCTTTGGCCACGATTGGTTTTAGATACTTATTAGATAGTCAAGAGAGGTGGTTTAGTGGGCCGTGGAATAAATGTCTGTGGTTCAGTGGGGAGGTCAAGATTAAAATGACAAAGGCAGGTGTCAGCAACACAGAGCTGACTTCAAAGCCGTGAGACTGAATAACTCCCTACAAGGGGAGGGGCTGAGTTCACTTCCTCAAATTGAGAAAGTTGGACAGGATGGTGTTGAAGGTCCCATCTTTTCCAAAAAGTTAAATGTTGATTGAATTTCAGAGAGTCTGTAAGAAACTTGAAGTGATGGAATTTTTTTTTGTAAAATGCTTTAGCTTCTTTTAAATAATGAAAAGGATGAGTGGGAAGAAATACAGATATTTAAGTATTTGAAATCTGTATTTATTCTGAAATTGCTTGTCCACAAGCATGGTATGTAACTGCGATCAGATATCCTTCTGAAAGTGAAAATAATCTCCTTCATTTTGTAAGGCTTCAGTTAAACCTGAATGGTGGTCAATGTGAACTTATATTTATCAAAAAAATTTTAACAGCTTTATTGAGGAGTCAAGTGACACCCAAGCTGCACATATTACAAGTGTAAAGTTAGATGTTTTCACATGGGTATTCAGCCATAGAGCTGGCACCACTAGAGATAATAGATGCACTTGTCATCCCAACAGTTTCCTTGTTCCCTTCAGTACTGTCTCCCTCCTGCCTCTGATCCACAGGGAACCACTGATAAGCTTTTTGTAACTGTAGATTAGTTTTCGTTTTCTAACTTATATAAATAGGATCATACAGTAGGTATTCTTTTTTTCTGGCTTTTTTCATTCAACGTGATTATTTTGAGATTCATCCATGGTGTTTTTTGTGTCAGTAGTTCTTTTCCTTTTACTTGCGTAGTAATATTCTATTGTATGGATATACCAGATGCATTTTTCAGTCATAATGAAGTTAGACTACCTTCTATTTCCCTTCAGCGGGTCTCCGGATTTGCTGGTATTATTTGTAACCCTGAAAATTTGAGACAAGTCTCAGTTAATTTAGAAAGTTTATTTTGCCAAGTTTGAGGATGCATGCTCCTGAGACAGCCTCAGGAAGTCCTGATGACATGCCCAGGGTGGTCGGGACACAGCTTAGTTTTATACATTTTAGGGAGACGTGAGACATCAGCCAATGTATGTAAGAAGTACAATGGTTGGCCGGGCGCGGTGACTCAAGCCTGTAATCCCAGCACTTTGGGAGGCCGAGACGGGTGGATCACGAGGTCAAGAGATCGAGACCATCCTGGTCAACATGGTGAAACCCCGTCTCTACTAAAAATACAAAAAATTAGCTGGGCATGGTGGCGTGTGCCTGTAATCCCAGCTACCCAGGAGGCTGAGGCAGGAGAATTGCCTGAACCCAGGAGGCGGAGGTTGCGGTGAGCCGAGATCGTGCCATTGCACTCCAGCCTGGGTAACAAGAGCGAAACTCTGTCTCAAAAAAAAAAAAAAAAAAGTACAATGGTTGTGTCCGGAAAGGCAGGACACCTTGAAGCAAAGACAAGAAGGAGGCTTGAAACTGGAAGGAGCTTCTGGGTCACAGGTAGGTGAGAGAGAGGAGTGCTTGCATTCTTTGAGTTTTTGATTAGCCTTTCCAAAGGAGGCCATTGGCTATGCATCTATCTCAGTGACAGGCAGGTTGTCCCTAAGCAGTTCCCAGCTTGGCTTTTCCCTTTAGGTTAGTGATTTAGGGGACCCAAGGTTTATTTTCCTTTCACACACCAAAGAGACTAAAAATGTGAGTACATATACACACAGAGACACACTCCAAACTCTCTTCATAGAAGGGCTTCCTTGTTCTTGTATCCATCCCCTTCCTCCTGTTCAGGGATGAGCTTCCTGGCTTTCATTTACCAGAGCAAGCTTGACAGTGCTGTGGATAGGAAGCAGACCCACCCTTTCTGTGTGTCTGTGTTCTGTGTGATCTTCTGGGGATGTGTGTATGTTGTTGAGCTTTTTTTTTTTTTATATCTAGATTGTGTTTATGTCAGGGGGTTGCCTGAGATAAAACTGAAGCTTCATAGTTTAGCCTTTAGTTGTGTTTCATAGTTTAGCAGTTATGGATTCCGTTAACCTAGTACCTCAGATTTCACAAGGGAGTATAGTAAATCTTTTCTCAGTTCATAGGAATTTTGCATAGTTGGTTAAGACAGAGATGAAAATGAGACAACCACTCATTCACGTGGTAAGTAGATGCTTACCTTTAATCTCTGTGGTGTCTTGATTAAATCACTTGCTTTCTGCTTCTGTTTCTGTGCATTTGGAAAAGTTCACTGCTTTCTGGTTCCTGTGGATGATCTGAGAACACACTTGGGGATTCATGAGTTAGTCACCCTCTGGCTGTTTTTAGCATCATGAGCTCACATGCAGTGTAAGGATGTCTGGGCTCTCTGTGCTGTTATCTGGGGTTGTCTGAGGAGGAAGAGAAGCAGATATGGTAGGATGATGAGACAGGTTAGCATGCAAGTGCAGTAAAGAATTCCATTTTGGATGCTCTTAGTTAGAGTTTTCTGCAGGATGTTCTGTTTTCTAGGTAATTTGTAGATTTTTACACTGCTTTATAAAAAGCTCTTTCCCCAATTGGTAGCTTTGAATTCTTCTTCAGTATTTATGGGAAGTCATATTCTTTTTTTTTTTGAGACCGAGTTTCGCTCTTGTTACCCAGGCTGGAGTGCAATGGTGCAATCTCGGCTCACCGCAACCTCTGCCTCCTGGGTTCAGGCAATTCTCCTCCCTCAGCCTCCTGAGTAGCTGGGACTATAGGTACACACCACCGTGCCCAGCTAATTTTTTGTATTTTGAGTAGAGATGGGGTTTCACCATGTTGACCAGGATGGTCTCGATCTCTTGACCTCGTGATCTACCCGCCTCGGCCTCCCAAAGTGCTGGGATTACAGGCTTGAGCCACCGCGCCCAGCCGGGAAGTCATATTCTTGAATTAGATGTTCTGCATTACCTTACCAAAGATGACTCTACCAGTAGTGAAGCCAACAAGCAAACAGATCTGCTGCTCTGGGTATGTAAAAGATCACTTCATCTTGGTCCTTACGGGACTGCCTCATTCTCTGTGATGGCTGCAGAGCATTCACTCCATCGACTAAATGTAACATGCTTTAGTTGTCCCCACCACTTTTCCTGTTACATCTGTGCTGAAGTACATAATACTTACATGTAAATACATCGTCTCCCACATTTCCAAATTGTTCTCCATTAACATTTTATTGGTATATACTTCCACCAACAAGGTTTTAGTGTGTCTGTTTCCTTATACACTCAACAGTACAGAGTGCTACTAGAGTTTATCCGATTGGTGAAAATGTTATTTTCTTCTTATTTTTAACTTACATATCTCTTATTACAGAGTTTGGGCATCTTTTCATGTGAATAAGTCATTTGTAATTCTTTTTCTGGGAGTTCACTCTTCATATATGCAACCTGTTTCTCTATTATATGGTTACCGTCTTATTGAAATGTAGGAGCGTTAGATATATTAAGCAGATTAGCTCTTGGCGATATGACTTACACTGTTGCTTTTAAGTTTGTTGTTTGTCCTTTGATGTTGCTTACCGTGTTTGCCATGAGGGGATTTTTTTATACTGATGTAATGGAATTACATCTAATTTTAAAAATTGCTTTCAAATTTTGTGTTACACTCAAAACATTTCAGATATTACCTTTATCATATTCTGAATACCTGCCTTAGCCTCTCAAAGTGCTAGGATTACAGATCCAACAGTGGCTGGAGCCACTGCACCCAGCTACCCAAGGCAAATATTGAGCCAATGTACTTGGCCATCCAAGGTTCCACCCTGGGTAGGGGAGCTCTGGCGTCGGAGGGAGCGCAGCTTCTCGGCTGAACTCTGGGATAGACACATTTCCTGATGGGCAGAGCATTCCAAGGCTCCTCACTCACATCTTCTACAGCTCCAAGTCTTGGGATGCCTCAAACCCATACTCTACATGGGCCAGCCGTCATCGAGCAGCTAGTGTGGGACAGACAGGCCAGAGTGGGCATGCAAGAGGAAGGAGACCCAGACTTTGCCTCAAGGAGATCACATTCAAGCAGGGACAGAATTACTTCAGAGTATGGCAGATTAATGGACCAAAGCCTCTGATTTTCTTCCTTCCTTTATTTCTTTTCTTTCTCTCTCTCTCTCTCCCCCTCCCTCCCTCCCTCTCTTTCTTCTCTCTCATTCTCTCTCCCTTCCTCTCTTCGTCTTTCTTTCTTTCTTTCAAGATAGAGTTTCACTCTTGTTGTCCACACTGGTGTGCAGTGGCCTCAGGTGATCCACCCACCTAGGCCTCCCAAATGCTGGGATTATATGTGTGAGCCAGTGGATCTTGCCACCTCCAATTTTCACAGAAGCAGGCACAGAGAAGTTTGGCACCCAACAGAAATGAGTTCAAATATCAGTTTCCCTAGTTCTTGGCTCAAGCTTTTCTGGTTCTCAGTGACTTCCTATGAAAGGGAATGAGAGGGATCTGTGGTGACAAAATCATGGCAGGCAAGGTGACACTCACCTGTAATCTTAGCAACTCAGGAGGTTGAGGTGGGAGGATCGCTTGAGAGCCTACCTGGGAAACATAGGGAGACCCCAACTCAAAAAAAAAAAAAAAAAAAAAAATGCTGGGCATGGTGGCTCATGCCTGTAGTCCTAGCACTTTGGGAGCCCAAGGCAGGTGGATCACTGGAGGTCAGGAGTTCGAGACCATCCTGGCCAACATGGCGAAACCCCATCCCTACTAAAAATACAAAAATTAGCCAGGCGTGGTGGTGCATGCCTGTAGTCCCAGCTACTTGGGAGGTTGAGGCAGAAGAATCGCTTAAACCCAGGAGGTGGAGGTTGCAGGGAGCTGAGATCACACCACAGCCCTCCAGCCTGGGAGGCTCCACAGAGTGAGACTCCATCTCCAAAAAAAAAAAAGAGAGAGGAAGAGACATCAACAAACATTTGGTGATGAATGGGGTAGCAGTGCCACTGCCCAGCTAAAATATATATGTATGTATGTATGTACATGTATATATCTATATATATGCATATATTTGTATTTTTAGTAGAAACTAGGTTTCTTCATGTTGACTAGGCTGGTCTCAAACTCCTGACCTCAGGGGATCCACCCACTTAGGCCTTCCAAAGTACTGAGATTACAGGTGTGAGTCACCACACATGGCCCTCCTCCTTTTTTTTTTTGAGAGGGAGTTTCACTGTGTCTCCCAGGCTGGAGTGTAGTGGCAAAATCTCAGCTCACTTCAACCTCCCCCTCCCAGGTTCAGGCATTTCTCCAGCTCAGCCTTTCGAGTAGCTGGAATTACAGGAGTGTGCCACCACACCAGGCTAGGTTTGTATTTTTAGTAGAAACTAGGTTTCTTCATGTTGACTAGGCTGATCTCAGACCCCTGACCTCAGGTAATCCACCGGCGTTGGCCTTCCAAAGTGCTGGAATTACACACAGGAGCCCACCCCACCCCCATCCCAGTCAATTTCTTGATTGCACAGAATGTATGGTGATATTGGTGGACTTACGGACATCCTCTCCAGCACTGAGTGTTGTGTCTTGGGTGTGCTATGCTTTTTGTTTGTTTGTTTTTTTGAGACAGAACCTCACTCTGTTGCCAGGCTGGAGTGCAGTGGCATGATCTTGTCTCTCTGCAACCTTCACCTCCCAGGTTCAAGTGATTCTTCTGCCTCAACCTCCTGTGTAGCTGGGACTACAGGCGCATGCCACCATGCCCAGCTAATTTTTTTAAAAAGTATTTTTAGTAGAGACAGGGTTTCACCATGTTGGCCAGGATACTGTCAATATTTTGACCTCGTGATCCAACTGCCTCGGCCTCCCAAAGTGCTGGGATTACAGGCATGAGCCACTGTGCCTGGCATGTGCTCTGCTTTTAAACTCTTTTCTTTCTAATGTGGGGCAGATTGGAAAGCATGCCTTGTTTTCATGGCCCTCATGCAGCTTGTTTGGAACTGTTTTATGTTCACAGTTTGGGAATTTGAGGCAGTATTGCTGAGCTGTCCTGTCAACCTGAATTTGAGCTCTTTATCTGCCACTAACCTTGCCATGTGATTATGAGCAAGGTACCTAGCGTCTCTGTTCTTCAATTTCTTTAACTGTAAAATGCAGATTATGCCCAGCTCATAGCACTAGTGTGAGGAATAAATGAAGATATGTGTAGATCACTTTTACATGGTATGTGACACTTGGTAGGCACCAAATCATTATTGCTGGGAGCATCAGTACATTCTTGCTTGTCTACACACACACACACACACACACACACAGAGAGAGATTGCAGAGATCATACAAAGAGTTCCCATGTACCTGTACCCAGCTTCCCCTATTATTAACATCTTACATTAGTATGGTGCATTTGTTAAAGTTAATGAACAAATACTGAGATGCTTTTAATAACCCGTCTCTACTTCATTCAGATTTCTTGGGGTTATTCCTAATGTCCTTTCCTGTTCCAGTGTCCTATCCCAGACACCACATTCCATCTCATCATCATTTCTCCTTAGGCACTCTCCCTGGCTGGGTCACTCGTTGAGTTTCTTTTGATTACATTGAAATTAAATTTTGGTGTGGACAATGAGATCTCTGTTACAGAATTCTTAGGTTAAAATTTAGTCACAATAGCTGGGTGCAGTGGCTCATGTCTGTAATTCCAACACTTTGGGAGGTCGAGGCGGACTGATCACTGAAGGCCAGGAGTTTGAGACCAGCTTGGGCAACATAGAGAGACCCTATCTCTACTAAAAATAAAAAAATGTTTGCCAGGCATGGTAACACACATCTGTAATCTCAGCTACTCTGGAGGCTGAGGCATGATAATTTCTTCTTTTTTTTTTTTTGAGACGGAGTTTCGCTCTTGTTACCCAGGCTGGAGTGCAATGGCAGGATCTCAGCTCACCACAGCCTCTGCCTCCTGGGTTCAGGCAATTTTCCTGCCTCAGCCTCCTGAGTAGCTGGGATTACAGGCACGCGCCACCATGCCCAGCTAATTTTTTGTATTTTTAGTAGAGACGGGGTTTCACCATGTTGACCAGGATGGTCTCGATCTCTTGACCTCGTGATCCACCCGCCTCGGCCTCCCAAAGTGCTGGGATTACCGGCATGAGCCACCACGCCCGGCCTCGAGAATTTCTTGAACTCAGGAGGCGGAGGTTTCAGTGAGCTGAGATTGTGCGACTGTACCCCAGCCTGGAAGTGAAGCCAGATTCTGTCTCAAAAAAAAAAAAATAATAATAATAATAAAAGGCAAACCTTACTCACAAAATTATTATAGGGCACCTGGTAGTAGTAGAGCTGGGTGTGTAGTAGACTCCCGAGATCTTAACCTAAAGTCTGCCCTCCTGTGGCGAAACCTGCTTGTGTGCCGGAAAGCAGACCCGAGCTGCCGAAAACCACCTGTACCATATCCTGCCCCATTTGTCCTCCCCCAACTTCTGGTAAATAATGTCCATTGAAAAATGCTGGTTGAGCCTATGTGGTGGCCTGAGTGATAACACATCTCAGGGATGTGTGGGGTCGTGGGGTAGGAAAAGGAGGCCACTGTGTTTTTTCTGACAGTCCGCTCAAAACTGCTGGTGGCCGGTAGCTGAGCTGTGTGGTTTCTCTGAATGTTAATAACTTTCACTGCTTTGGCTTGTGTTTCCTCCTTGATATCACCAACTGAAAACAGAAGTCAGAAGTTTTTGGTTTCTGGTGCCAAATCCAAGCTGGTTTATCGGCAAACACCCCTGCCAGACAATGGAGTCTGTGTGCTGGGGCAGAGCCGCTTTCCCTTTGACACTGGCTCTTTTCTAAGAACTGAAAATAAGCTGCAGAGGCTGTGACTTCACTTTTCTTGGAACTCCTTTACCTTACCCCCCAAAATGCAGAAAACCCTCATTTAGCAGCTTTTGGATTTCTGAGTTCTCTAATTCTTTCTGTTGCATATTCTTGTAATGCTCAAGTTTGACGGACAAATTCTTCTGCATCAGGCGAAGTGAGAGGGGGAAGGAATGACCGTGTGAAGGAACTGAGTGCTTTGTCACTTGGCCTGTTTTATCGTTGGTTTAATCGTTGATGAAAAAAAGCACCTACAAGAGACACTGTGTAGAATGGCTTCCAATTCCAAGGGTCACAACCCTGTGATCTGTTGGCCAGCAGTTGGCTAGGGCTGGGGCAGATGAACATCAGGCTACAGCCCAAACTTACAGAGCAGCTGCAAGGCCAAGTGGAAAATGCATTTTCAGCCATAATGACCTACATTTAGTAGATACTTTGGAGCTTGTGCAAAAGGACATCTTCAAGGGGCCTCTGCCTCCTTGTGAAAAGGAAGATAGTGATGTCAGCCAAACCTGGGGTCCGGTCTTGGTCCTGTTGGTTCCTTTTTGACTTTGGCCTTGAAAGTCAGTCTGTGAAGTGGAGACCTCTCTTCCTTTGAAGGGTGGTACCTGGTAGGTTCTTGGGAACTGAATTAATGTTCCCCTCCTAAGAGTGGGTCTCATAGACAGGCACATACGCTGTTCTGAAATCACCTGTTGCTATCTCTGTCTCTGTTGGAGGTGCTTCCAGTGATGTGTGATTGTGTCTTACTTATCTCAGTATCCCTGCCCAGCATGGGGTCTTACATAACATACATGGGCAGTCAGTCAGTGTTAGGACTGGCTGGGTTTTAGGCTGGAAGACAGTGGAAATATACAAGCAAGGGCAGTGTCTTGAATTTACACGTGGCCTGCAGCAGTTTTCAAATGAAAGGAGCCCCCTGCTTAGAAGGGCCTTTTGAATTGGGCCTCCTGTATAGTTTATAGTGAACCTGAGGGTGATGGCTAGACTGTTGGGGAGTGCTCTTTAAGTGCAGAGTGAAGACTTGGTAAAGCCATAAAAGCATGGAGGAAAAGGAGATAGCCAGCTGAGTCCAAAAAATTGATTCATGTGGTTTGAGCACAATCTGAAGTGAGAGGCCTTCGAGCTTGACTCTTGATAAAGAATGCAAATTCAGCTGGGTTCAGTGGCTCATGCCTGTAACCCCAGCACTTTGGGAAGCTGAGGCGGGCAGATCACCTGGGGTCAGGAGTTCAAGACCAGCCTGGCCAACATGGCAATACCACATCTCTATTAAAAATGCAAAAATTAGCCAGACATGGTGTGTGTGGGTGTGTGTGTGCCAGTAATCCCAGCTGCTCAGGAGGCTGATGCAGAAGAATCGCTTGAACCCAGGAGGCGGAGGTTGCAATGAGCTGAGACTGCGCCGCTGCACTCCAGCCTGTGCGACAGAGCAAAGCTCTGTCTCAAACAAAACAAAAAGAATGGAAGTTCAACAAAGAATGAAGTGCCAGGGACTGTGCGAGAAGCCGTCTCATAAGTTGCTTCATTTTACTGTCCCAGTACCCCTAGGAGGTGCATTTCCCCTGTCGCCTTTCACAGCTGTGAAAACTGCAGCCATAAAGATGAAGTCCTTTGTCCAGGGGCTCTCTCCAGCCACAGAGCCAGGTTATGAACCAGTTGGTGCCCCTCATGATTAAGGACACTTGTTGTGGGTGGTCAGGAGCAGGCCCTTCCCTATAGCAGCTCTTCCCCAGGGCAGCTCTGGGAGCTGAAG